AATGTTATGTGCCCTTACCACCCTGTCCCAGCAACTGGAGAATGAAAATGCTGTGGATGTTTTCCAGGTTGCAAAAATGATCAATCTTATGAGGCCTGGAGTTTTCACAGACATTGTAAGTACTAATTTGTGAAACCATCCTTTGAAACTCAGACTCAACTCTAGAGCAGTAGTTCTCAACTGGGGGTGTTTTGCCTCCCAGGGGACATTTGGTAATGTCTGAAGACTTTTGGTTGTCAGAGCTGAGGACGGTGGAAGGCTTGGAGTGCGTAAAGGCCAACGATGCTGCTAAATATCCTCTGGCACATAAAACAGCCTTCAACAACATAAAATTATCCTGCTCAAAGTGTCTGAGGAGCTGAGGTAGAGAAACCACCTTAGAGTAGAACATTCTCTAGTTATAGGGTAAGGGGTATTTCATAACCTTATTGAAATGTCAACATTGGGAGAAGAAGACTCCTCCATGACTGTAGCGAACTAGTGATTTCAGGGAAAAAAAGAAATTATTTTCTACTGATAATTCAGCCTCCAGCCCCCAAACTCGAGTGGTAGTAAGCCCCTATAGCCTTCTTTCTGTCTCTCTCTCTGCCTTCTCATTTTTTTCTAATTTTTCCTTTTTAAAATTTTTAAGGTAAAGTATTCTCTTAGCTTTCAGACCCTCCTTTATCTTGCTAATAATCTCCTTTTCCCCTCCCCTCCAGGAGAGGCAAGGGGCAGGCCTTCAGAAGAAAACTCCTCCATGGCACACTCATTTAGTTTTTGCTTTTTAAAATAAATTAATTTTTTATTATTTTTTTTCTTTTTCTCTCTTTCTCTCTCTCTGTTTTCTTTTCTTTTCCTTTTATCTCGTCACTCTGCTCCTCAGTCTCCATTCACTGTGTTTCTAGATGGATCTAAGGGAACCATAGTCAAACATCCAAAATTACTCTTAGGGTTAACATATTCCTCAATACCCACTGAATATGCTGCACAAAGGGATAAAAATGAAACAGCAAAGAGATTCTAGATCACCTCCTTCTGCATGCTCCTGAACACTCAGATTGAACTTCAAGAATTAGGAAGAAACACACCATCCGGAAGAAACACAACATCCATCAGATCACTAAAAATCACCCCAGGGCCACAAGAAATATGCGAAAACAAGAAAATACCTCTCCTCCAAGGGAAAAGAAGAACTCCGTTTCATCCACGGACAGTTCCATGGAAATGTCTGATAAAGAATTTAGAATATTCATAATGACGAAGCTAAAAGAGAGAGAAGAGAGACAATGAACTGCAGAAGAGGCAGAAGAAAGGAGCTGACGAGTTCCAGGAGGTAAGAAAATTCTTGCAGGATCTAAAAGAGGAAATACATGCTTGAAAGTATTAAATGCAGACTAGATCATACAGAAAATAGAATCTCAGAGGTAGAGGAGAAAATTACTGGCCTAGAAAAGTCCACCACGAAGACTGAGAAAATTGCTAAAAAAAAAGAAGAAGAAGAAGAAGAAGAATATACGAGAAGTACTAGATACCATCAAACATCCAAACATCCGGATAATTGGTATTGCAGAAGATGAAGAGACTCATAAGGACACTGATAATCTATTCCATGAAATCCTGCAAGAAAACTTTCCAAACCTAGAGAGGCGCTCAAAGATCCAGTCCCAAGAAATACAAAGGACCCCAAATCGAATCAACCCAAGATCTTCTCCAAGACACAATATAGCCAGGTTGACCAAAACCACAGACAAAGACAAGAAACTAAGATTGGCAAGACAAAAACAGCAAGTCACCTACAAAGGACATCCCATCAGGCTAAGAGCGGATCTCTCATCAGAAACAATGCGAGTGAGGAAAGAATGGGAAAATGTATTCAAAGTGTTAAAGGAAAGGCAATTTCAACCAAGAATACTGTACCCCATAAGATTATCCTTCATATGGGAAGAAAAGACAAGAACATTCTCAGATAAACAAAACCTGAAAGAATTTACCAACACCAGACCAGATCTCCAAGAAGTTTTCAAGGGAGTGCTGTACCAGGAAAATTAAATGCAGAGCCACAGAAATAAGAGTTCAAAAACTAAGAAAATAGCCAACTTAATCGTAGGGCCAAGTCTGGAGTTGAACGTTATCTTCCAGAATCAATCAGGAAGATCGGGCCACAACAGAAGATAAAGTACATGAGACTGAACTGGTGAAATAGCATTTTATGACTTTTGAGTAAAACATTGCTGATTGGGACCACCAGTTAGCATAATGGCTATGTCGCTGGACTCCCACGTAGTTGACCATGGTTCGCGTCCCAGACCCGATGGCACACCCTATAGCAAAAACCTCTTAAAAAAAAAAAAATTGCGGATTTTCTTCTAGGCTTTGTTTTGGTTTCAAGGATTTTTGTCCTGTCTTGAGCTGTGGGTAGGTTCATGAGCCTACTATTTGAAGAGACTCCTAACCTGTTTCCTGGCTTTAAGTTTTAAGCAAAGTTCATTAGCATTTCTATGATTTATTAAAGTTAAAACTGCTTTTCTTGATATTAAAAAAATATATTTAAAAAATACCTATTTACTGACCGTAAAGAAAAAAAAAGTGTCAACATTGGGAATGGCTCTAAGCTAATGAGAACAATTACAAGGTATAGTTCTGGATGACAAAAGATTCAAGTGATTTTGTTTCAAAAAGTTTTTAGATAACATCTATGCTACTCCTGTTTCTCTAAAATCATTTTCATGACTGCATTTTTAATCAGTATTTCTACCTTAGATGAAGTGACAACGCTGTTCCTTGGCTCAAACTGTCTTCCTCTTGTTTTTCAGGAACAATACCAGTTTGTCTATAAAGCAATGCTCAGCTTGGTCAGCACTAAAGAAAATGGAAATGGTCCCATGACATTGGACAAAAATGGTGCTGTTCTAATCGCAGATGAATCAGACCCTGCCGAGAGCATGGAGTCTCTCGTGTGACTGGAATCCTGAAAGGGCACTTAATTTGTAAACTTCTGAAGACTGAGAATTTTTTGAGGCCTTTTTTGCCAGACTCTAGGTTATACAATAACCCAGTTACTTTTTTACACTGATAAAAGTTTTGATATTTATTTTTTGCCATTTTATGTCTTAATGGTATCCTACTGAGCATTTGCACCTCTGTTCATTTCACACAGTGAACCGCAATTTTACCTAGTTTGCACTATATGATCAGTGTTACTGCCTATAATCGAATACTAAAGCAAACCTTGATGTGACATTCCATGACAACATACATGCTACTTTTTAGTTCCGTACAGTGAAGGTCGTTGCTATGACAGTGAATCTTGATTTTATTATGCTAATTATTATTCTTGCTAAAGCAGTTGCAGTTTACTAGCAGGCAATGCTGTGCTATTCCTCGAGTCTGCCTCTCCTGCTCTTTTTTGGTTCCCCTCCGCCCGGCACTGTTCGATGCTGGATGCCTTCTGTATGTTAATGGAGTGAATGAGCACTGTTTTCTCTTACAGAACAGGATATTGGGAGCTGCTAAGAAGGTCTTTCAAAGTCATGGCCTTGAAACAGTTCCATTTATGATGGTTAATAGACCCACTTAGCAATCAGAAGGCTTAAAAGATGCTTCATGTGAACATCTCTTATTAGTTACAAAGTTAAATTCATAACTTTAAAAACATTGTGTCAAAATAAAGGATAACTCTGTATTACGGCTTTCACAGTAGCTATGTGGACAGTGTGTGTTATTTCCATTTTGACTCTGAAATAGCTACACAGTAAAATCAGGGCTATCTTTTACAATAGAGAGATGGCAATACTTTCTACAGCTCAGTTTTAGTTACTCACTAATGCTTCTTGGTTTATAATACCAGACCTCACGGTAGGCAGAAGAATAAAAATCTGTGTAATTTTGAAACCAGTCCTCTAAAAATTCCCTATTAGTAATCTAATAAAAACTACCTATACAGTTAACATTTTTTTCTTTCCTTTTTTGCCAAATGTTTCATAATAAATCTCTTAATTACATACATTCTTTTACTTAAAGTTAAATTGAAAATATTGTATTAAGAAAAGCCTTGGGACTTTCGGAACCCCCACACACAGATAAATGTGATTTGGAAAGAGAAAATTAGAATCTTGAATAAAAAGTGTTATCAACACTTTCAAAGAGGTTTTTTGAAGAGGGAGACAGCTTTGTATGTATGCTTCTGTGTAATTTAACATCAAGAACATAAATTTCAGTAAAAGATGCCAATAATCACTAGCAAGCTCAAGGATGCTATTTGGTCCAGCCCTTGGAGTCGTATTCACCCTGCAGTGTGTACTGGGAAAATTAGGAGCATTCCTATGAAATTTCAGTAGGGTACATAGAAACATAAGCGACTTACTGAGATCTGTTTCTTCTAATACACGTTTGCTGTGAGTGACAGCTTCTGTCAGAAATGAAATCATCACCAGAACTGGACCTGTTAAGAAGAACAGGGTTTTGTTCATTTTTTTATGCCAATAAACTCCAACAAAAAAAAAGTCCACACTAGCTGCTATCATACTCTCTGGGTAGACACTAAAATGCTAATGATGCTTAGCACTGAAGTCCTATTTACCTTGAGCTGGCTTTCTATGAAGTTCGGCCAGTGGTGCTGGAGGACAAAGGTTGCCAAGGACTTAGCATCTACGGGACAAGTCCAAGAGCTGCAATGCAGAGGCCAGGCCGACTGTTTTCGTGAACTACATGACAGGGTTCAGCTCGCCTTCTCACCACATAGATACAGTAACATGGAACAGTCTGCTCTTTAAGAACTATACAGGTTAGCCTGGAGGAGAAAAGTGTCCAAATGAGCAAAGTTTGCTAAGTCTTACACACCGGATGGTGCAGACACTTTGTAGCCCCTCTACCTTCACCAGAGGTGACACGGGAAGCGTTGAACACAGAACACTACAACTACCAGAGCTGAGGGGAATCAGGAAGGGAAAGGTTTCAGATGGTGACAAAAGCTAGGTGTTTACAGTCAATTAAGTGGGTTGTTTTAGCGTACAGCCTACTGGTATGAGCTCTTTCCAGTAAATGGCACAGGGGGCTTGACATTCAGAAGTAAGTTATCAGTTGGGGTTTATGGTCCTTGTCCCAGTAATTTTTTCTCAATAAAAGTAAACCTTAGTTAGGAGACGAATAGCCAAGTATTCCCTTCTGTACCGTTTACAGAGGCCTCAATTCATGGAAATGGGCATCTTCCAGTACAGTTCTGTGACTACTTTCCTGCTTGTCAGAATCACCTTTCCTGAATGTCAGAATCATGAGGGACAGCCAGGAAATAAGACAGAGGCATGATACAGGTGGTTTAGAAGTTCTCTGTAAGCAATCTGTGTGTCCCTAGCAGGCTGGAACCAAAGTCTGCAGACCCTAACCCACTGAACTACAAGCGATTGCTATTTGCCTGCCTTGCCAAAGTGGCCCAAACGCACCTCACTGAGGACAGTATATTCTGTAGTTCCTCACTTTCACCACAGTGTGTGTCCTCATAATCATTATTCATTTGTTATTGGCAAAAATATGCTTGCATCTTTCCAGGGGCATAGAGCTTCAACGATGATGTTTTCTTATAGACACAAGCACATTGCTTAAGTACATGGCAAGGTGGTTATTCTTGCACTCAGAGGGAAAGGAACTAGCTGTTGCAAATTAACGTGTGCTGTTTGTGTGTACAGATTTAGCTCTAGATTAATAGAAGGCACCCGTCATACGAAATTGAACTGCAGTGATCAGACCAAGTAGCTATGTTGGACATCAGAGAAAAGACACTTCTTGCCATCAGAACTTGTTCTTGCATCCAACAGCCACAGTAGCATCATTCACATATATATACACACACACACATATATATATAAATGTTAAATTCTGAATTTCAAGATAAACAAGATTAGTTCTTTTTTTTTTTTTTTTTTGGTTTTGATCCTTTGAACTTTTAGTGTCCATTTCAAGTAGAAGAATCCAGCAGGATCACGGTATTCAAGGTCTGGCTGTTGGAGTTTTTGGCCCAGAGTGACATATTGAAATCAATCAATAACCTTACTTATTTTATAATGACACAGCACAACTGCCTTGTTATGATTTTTTTCTTAAATGCATATAGCATATATACTGTATTTAAAATTAAAATACAGATACCAATTTACCAAAGATACATATTACTAATTCTAAGCAAAAAAATAAAAAATAGAAAGAAACCCAAACTCATCATAATTTAAGAAAAAGTAATCAAAATGTAGTTTGTCTTAAGAATTTAGCAGTTATACTGAAAAATGCATTTTCAACTCCTATGTTCTGAAGTTTATGTTCAAATGGTGCCAGTGAATTTTTATATGAAGGAAAAATGCCTGCTTTTTTTCTTTAACAGCTGTAATTTCACTTAACCCTTTGCGCTTTCCCTTAGTTGCCATTTAACACACAATATTGGCTTTACTTATCTCTAGAAAGAAGGCATGCTACCAATAGGAAGGAATTGTAATAATGCTATTTGGCCTCGACTTTGTCTTAGCTGTTAAACTGTTTTTAGTATTTTTGTTAAATATTTGCAAAGGGAAGCATTTTCTACAGAGGATAATTAATTTCAAGAAAACTATCTTGAGTTTTAAAAAATAAACATCTCCAGAAAAGGAGACAGTCGATTTTATAAAATGTCGCAACTCTCCAACATTTGGGGTAGTGACTCCTTTTTTGTTAGGACATTTGAAACTAGCAAGCAGCCATTGTTTCTAAAGAATCCAGCCTTCATGTTGACTCACGTTTCTTTCACTTCATTTTAAAATAGCTAAAATCATTAAAACTGTAAATATTTTGTTGCTTGGGTAAGCATCTTCTGGGAACTTTGTATCTATGGTATATAATCATAGAATTTTATATTTTCATATAAAGCTAATTTTTTTCTAGTTTTGACTCCGTCATAGTTTTTTCTTTTCTTTTTTTTCTTTTTGTGGTGGATATGTGAATTCAACTTTCTGTGTACTGAAGTAGCAAGAACCATCTTTGCATTCCAAAAGAATCCAACATGTGTTATTTCTTTGAGGGAGTGATTGTGAAAGTTGGGTTTTCTTTTTTAATTCCATTGACCATTTGTGCAATAGGAATTAGACATAATTAGTCACTGAATACATTTGTCGCATTGACCCATTTGGAAAAAGTGGTTTGTTTTGTTTTGTTTTTTTTGTTTTTTTTTTTAAATTTGTCCTGGGGGAGGGGTTTTGTAACCTGAAAATTTTCCCTTTTTTCTTCTGTTTAAAACTATATCAAATCATTCTACTATAGTGTTATTTAATATGTAAATTGTATTGCTATACATAAAATAAAGTATGGTTTTTGATGTATTTATTAGCGTTGAGCATTTCTATGAAAATGTCTATACCCAAAAAAATCAGGTTACTAGTGACCCTTAACAGACATTAATACTCACCAACTTTCACCTTACTTTACCTGGTAGTGCAATTAATTTTTTAAAGAATTTATTTAATTTTATTTATTACTATTATACTTTTTTAATTCGACCAGAGATAGAAAGTGAGAAAGCAAGCCACCAGGTCCAGGACTGGAACTGTAGTTGGCCATGTGGGAGTCCAGTGCCTCAACCACCACACCAGCTGCCAGCCCCTACAATGAATGTTAACAGTCATCTTTACATACCCTGCTTGGTTAACTTATCAATATTCTTTCTCCTTGAGAAAGTAAACAATGACAACATTTTATATGCATAACGAATCAACCTGCATTTGCTTTATGACTCAGTTAAACTGTAAGGAGAATTACTGTCTTCATCAGCATATCAGCAAGATTTGTAGCAACTTTTCTCTCTCGGTATTTACCATGTAGGATAATGGATATATGGCGGCAAGACTTAGAGAATCTACAAAGTATATCTAGGATCAGTACAATTGCTTGTCCTTAGAAGAAATTTTGACATCTCCCACAGGGGTACACAAGTCCTAAACCCGGCAGCTTTGGTCCACTACTGTCCCCTGACTTGCAGTGAATTCACATCAGGTGTGCAACTAATACTAGGGCCCCAGTTTTCCTTTCCATCAAGACAAGAACTGTTACTTCATTCCCAAGTAACTAGGAATTGAAGAAATAATGTGTTCACTTCTCCTAAGAGTATGTGGAAGAAAGACTCCAGCACAAAAGAATGAAAACCTCTGCTGCTATAACCTAGTCTTCCTCCAGATATAACAGTGGGGACTCTACTGTTCTGTCACACAGTATACCAGAGGTCACAAATTAATGGCCTGCAGATCAGGCTCCCTCCACAAATTTTCTTTTAAAAATTTACTGACTTTTTTTAAAAAGAATGATTTATTTCATTCCATTGGCTATTATTATATTTTAATTTGACCAGAGAGAGAGAGAGAAAAAGAAAGGGAGAGAGCAAGCCGCCAGGTCCAGGACCTGAACCATGGTTGATCATGTGGGAATCCAGTGCCCTTAACCACCACACGACCTGCCAGCTCCTCTGTTACTAACATTTGGAAAATAAGAAATTTTACACTGAGATTCAGATTTTGTGCCCAACAATGGTGTAATGTTACAATGCTTGACTCCCATGTAATCAACCGTGGTTCAAGTCCCAAACCCAGCGGCTTAAAACTCATACCAGGTGCATGTGTATGCATGCCCAAAATTCCAGGAGGAGAATGAAGGAGAAGGGATTATGGCATGGCCACCCCCTCTGAGGGGATGCTTTCTTACCCTCTCCGTGTCTCTCTCTCTTTCTCTCTGGCAAGCACATGTGCCCTATGGCAAAAACCTTATTTTTTAGGTTGGAGGAAAAACACATATTATGGAAAAATTATGTGCAGATTTCAAGTTTTACTTGCACCAGAACAACAGATTTTAATCCTTTTTTTAATGAACTTTTTGAAATTTCCTGTATTTCACTGTTTAGCAGACCTTTTGTCAATCATGAAATCAAAAATCAATCATCTCAGTTTGCTCAATTAAATAATACTGAGGAAGGCCAGCAGATAGCACAGGAGTTACATAGCTGGACTCCCACATGGCCAAACATGGTTTAAGTCCTGGACCTGGTGGCTTGAAAATCATGTCGGGTGCATGTGCATGTGGGCTCAAGATCCTTGGAGGAGAAGAGATTGCAGTGTAGCCATCCCCCTGGAGGTGATGATGTCTCACTTTTCCTCTCACTTTCTCCAGAAAGTGCACACCCCTTAAAGCAAAAACCTCTCAAAAACAAAAATACTGAGACATTTCCATCACTACCAAGAAAAGCTCACCAAGTCAACTTAGATCCTAGAGAGTTGGATGAAAATCAAAGTGGACAGTGGAAGCAACACATATATCAAACTGTCCAGAAAAAAAAAAAAAAACAGTAACAGAAGCAGGAAATGACACATGTGAAGCCCCAAAGTTTGAAAATATCTTAGTATATCCCAAGAAAGCTTTTTTTTTTTTTAAGAAAAAAGAAGCGCCATAACTTCAGAAGAGTAAAAGAGAAGGAAAATAAGAAGTTTTACACTGAGATTCAGTGTAAATACAGTGTAATATAGTCACACCTTGGTAGCCACAGAAAACCGGTTCTAAGACCCTCTGTGCGTATCGACACCTATGGAAGCTCTAGTCTCTTGTATAAGATAGCATAATATTTGCCCATAACCTATGCCCATAATCCATATACTTTTAAATCATCTCTAGATTACTTACATATAACATAAATGCTAGGTAAACAGCTGTTATATTGTACTGCCCAGGGAATAATGACAAGAATAAAAAAAGCTTGTACATATTTAACACAGATGCAATGACAACCATCCTAGGCCAAACCACATATTACCTGTTAGCAATGACGTCACATTTCGACCCATGTTTTATTCAGTTTGTGGATGTGGAACTGGCAGATGGAAAAGGTTGACAAAAGTATGAAGGAGGGACCAGCAGTTAGTGTAGTGGCTATGTCGCTGGACTCCCACGTAGTCAGCCACAGTTCACGTCCTGGACCCGGTGGCATAAAACTCAGGCCAGGCGTGTGTGCGTGCATGCCCAAGACCTCGAGAGGAGAATGGAGGAGAAGGGATTGTGGCGTGACCATCCACCCTGGGGGGGTGATTTCTTGCTTTCTGTCTCTCTGTCTCTGTCTGTCTGGCGAGCGCACGCGCCCTATAGCAAAAGCCTCTCCAAAAAAAAAAAGTATGAAGGAGAGGAACATTTCTATCACTAGCAGCAACTCTACCCCAAAGCCCTATAAACCAATATAAACGGTGATCATTCCTTTCTCCTCAGTTGATTTTTGCCTTCTATATATCTCGCTACTTTCAATACACCAACTGTCATTTCTGTAACTGTCCTCTCTTACTCTAGACTTTGTCCTGTTTTTTTTTTTTTAATGTTTTTTTGCCATAACGCATGCGCATTTGCAAGAGAGACAGAGAGAGATGGTGAGAGGGAAAGTGAGAAATCACCCCTAAAGGGCATGACCCTGCCACCATACCTCCTCTCCCTGCCATCTGGACATGCACATGCATATGCCCGGCGTGAGTTTCAAGCCACCAGGTGGACTTAAGCCGTAGGCGGCCCTGTGAGAGTCCCCGCGCCTTAACTACCACACCACATGCCAGCCCCCTTCCTAGGCCTCTTTAGCCATTTCTTATCCCATTATGAAGAAGTGGCCATAACACAGAGGCATTTCCTATTCTCATAAGTTATTCCTACAGCTTATAATGTACATCTTTTTAGAGTATCTCATCATGTAAACAAAACCATCTGCTTCCTGTGTCAAAACTTTATTGATTGAAGGAGAAAATAATGAGAGTAAATAAATTATAGCTGTTTTATAACTCAGTGTTTTAACAATAAATTTAAAATATATATTCCAATTTTTAACATTTTCATGATTCATGAACCCTGACAATGTTTCAAAATTGGCTTTAAAAACATAGAAGATGAGCTATTATAACAGGACGGTGGAGATGAAACATCATTTTGCACAAGATACATGGAAAGATAAAAAAAGCACATGAAGTTTTAACAAAATTTATCACTGATATTAAGGATATCTTTTGCTGGGACAAAATTTTCACATCTCTTAAAATATATGAACTACAGGGGGTCAGCAAATGGCGCAGTCATTAAGGCATTGGACACTCCCACATGCTGACCATGGTTCGAGACCCAGATCTGACGGCTTGCTTTCTCGCTTTCATCTTTCTCTCTGTCTCTCTCCGGTCAAATTAAAATAAATGAATGAATGAATAAATTTAAATATATATATATGAACTACATTTTGGGTCAAAATATCACAACATGGTTAGTAGGTCATGTCTGTGGTTTTCGTGTAATATTTCTCTTAACTCCCTGGTAAGAAACATGCTGAGAAAAATGTTTGAAAATATTTTGAAAAAAATGTAGCTTCTTTAGGTACTTTTCAGAGTAAAAATTACTTAGGATTTGAAAGGTTTTCTCCCTACTTCATTATCTGCTATTTGAGTCTCCACTGCTGAATTTTCCCCACATCTTCAATATCTAAATAATGGCATGTCCCAAGCTTGTTAAAGTAGCCCCCACACCAGACCAGATCTCCAAGAAGTTCTCAAGGGAGTGCCATATCAGGAAAATTAATTGCAGACACACAGAAATAAGAGTTCAAAAACTAAGAAAATGGCCCACTTAATCACAGGGACAAATCTGGAACAGAATATTATATCTCAGAATTTAATTGGGAAGATCAAACCACAACAGAAGATAAAGTACATGAGCCTGAATTGGTGAAATAGCATTTTATGACTTTTGAC